AAAATCTAGTGTTATTCTCCCATAGTGAGCCATTTGTTTCTGGATTTTTGGAACCAAAGAATCTCTTCTTGAAAAAGGGTCGAATTAAATTGTTTGATGAGGTCTTTCTCCAGGATATGCAAGTTATGAGAAAAGACCTGGGCTTGAGCTTTTTGGATGCTTTCTATACGGGCCAAAAGAGTTCTTTTGCGTTTAAAGATGTTACCAAAGACTTCTCTGTTCCAGGTTTTAACATTCTGAGTAAAGTTATCAATGGCTTCAAGGAGTTTAAAATCTTTGTTTAACCAAGAAATATGAACAACCTCAGAGAAATTAGGGTGGCAAAGCCAGGCCGCTTCAAATCTAAAAGGCCTGTTTTGAGGGTTAGAGGGGTGCATACCTTGAGTGTATACCACTAGTGAAGAATGATTCGAGTAGGTTCATGGGAGAGTCCTCACAGTTCCTTCAGGAAAAAGGGCTCGCCATTGATCATTGCTCATTGCTCGATCTAATCTCTCCATAGAGTTAGCCAGGCCTTGACGGTTATTTGTCCATGTGAGACGGGGACCAACACTTCCTAAATCAATGAGATTACAAGTATTGATCCTTTCCATAAACCTCTGGGTTCTGGTCTGATTATGGGTGTGTGAGAAGCTCCTCCTTTCACTCTGGTTAGCATAGTCATTGAAATCTCCGGCTATAAGCCAAGGCTTATTTAAGTTCCTCGATGTGTCTTCCAACTCCTCCCAAAGTGCCTCCCTCAGAGAGGGGTTAGGGCTAGCATACACCGCATTAAAAACCTATTCCTCGTAGTCCTCTTTATGAATTGTGGCTTGTATGTACTGGTTAGAGACAGCGGATGCACGAACGTTAACTTGGTCAGTGTCCCAGAGTAACCAAATTCCACCTGATCGTCCTACGGGATCAACAATGGTAGCTGCTGAGAAACCCATGTTGCTGAAGAAATTTCCCATAGAGCTATACGTGACTTTCATTTCCAGAAGAACAAGAATCCCAGGTTTGTGGGTTTGAAGGAGTTCACACATGTTGTGTCGAAAGGTATTGTTACCAGCCCCGCGACAGTTCCAAATCAAGATTTTGAGCGAGTCCATGGAGGGAAATGAGGGTAGAGGATCAGCTATAAGACCTGGTAGGAGGCTACATATCCTACAATGATCTTGGTCGATTGACCGCATGGACACCATTTGTAATGAGTAGAGTGGAGGAATGGTTGTGTTGCTCCATCCTGGTTCGATTCTCAGCCTTATTTGCTCTATCCACCAGATTGTGCCTACTCGGTGAATTACTTCAGTCCCTGTCTCTAATAACAGCCCCAAGGTGTTGCTTTCCCTTGTGGATTGTTACGTCCGGGTGGTTCATTTCCTCTTCCATGTTTGGTAGCTGGATCATGAGGTTTCCTAGCTCTTGCTTTCCCTTCTCTAAGAGATATGGTTTGGTTTAAAGAAAGTGGGTTGGATAGGAGAGAGTTAGAGAGGGCTTCAGTTATCACTTCTATTGGGATTTCTGGAGATATGTTATCAGATTCCTTGGGAGTTGTAGTTTCAGGCTCTAGTATAGGAGTGGACTCTTTCTGTGTGTTGTCTTTATCTTTATGGATTGTTGAGCTCAAAGTTGGATTTGCACGTGGGTTGGATAGTGTATGTGGTGCTGGGTGTGATGGGGATTGTCCTAGGCTTTCAGAGTTGTTGGGTTTCTTGGTGTGGTTAGTCCTCTGGTTAACTATAGTAATCTCTTGCCTAGAAGGGGTCGTAAGATTAAATGATGAGGAGGCCTCCTTTTCAAGGCCCAATCTATTAGTTTTTTTACCTCGGCTAGGTCCCTCCTCCTGATAAGCAGAACTGCCCAATTCAACGAACCTATTGGATTTTGGGCTAAGTCCATTGTTCTAGGCCTTCCGAGTGGGTGTGGGTCTTCGTGTCTTTTTGGTAACTAACATCCATGGCCCAAAATCAGCATCACTTCACTCTAAGCGTTGCCAGTTGTCAATTGTCTGCAATTGTACCGTTAAGGGGTTCTCTGAAACAACTAGTCCATCACTGGCCGGCGGCGAGCTTGTAGTTTGAGGCACCTGGGAAGATTGGTTTGCTGCTTTGAATCGGCATAACTCCCTTCGATGATCTACACTGCCACAGAAGAAGCAAAATGAGTGAATAGATTCATATTCATTGTTATAGCTTTTCTTACCTAAAAGAAATCTGGGGCAAAGGGGTTAATTCATATCCATTTCAATGCAAACTCTGGCGTATTTGCCTCTGGTAGCCATGGCCGTTGTAAGGTCAATTTTGAGTGGTTTCCCAATCTGTTTAGCAATGGTGTATAGGACCTTTTCTTGGAAATACTCAATCGGAAGCTCCGAAAACCTTACCCATACAGCAGTAGTGGTTTCAAAGGCTTCCGATGCCTTAAAGTCAGGCTCCCATTTCCGAATCGGAAGGTAATGGTCCATGATGATCCATTGACCTCCTGTGTAGACATGGTTGCAATCGTCCTGGAAAGAAAACTTGAACAAAAAATAGTTATTTCCCAAATCTATGGCATCAAAGTCCTCTTGGATTGCCCACAGGGTCTTCACTCTGTTGCAGAGCATCCGGTACCCTATGCTCTTACCAAGAAGATGAACAATAAGAGTATTGGTCCATGGTTTCCTAATCTGCTGTAGGGGTTTCTTGGGGAGAGATATTCTTGGTATACTAGTGGGCTCCGTGGGGTGATCATCCTTATGGATGTTGGTATCCCCATCTTCGTCTTCATCTTCATCATCAGAGAGAAAGGGTGTCTACGACATCATCAAAATAGAAATCGCTGCTCTTTGGTATTGCGAGGGCTTCTTTGAACGTTTTCGCCTTGGGAGGGTCAATTCCGACATCTTCCGAAAGGGAGGGGAGATCCGAAATAGCCTCTGATGGGTATAGGGGATTAGGAAATGATGTGCTTTCAGTAGTGATCTCCATATCCTGTTCCCCCATGGATTCCTTGCTTTTAATCTTTTTTGTACTTCGAATGAGATGATCATCTTCCTCTTGAGATGTCGTGATCCGGTCGCCGGTGCTAACAGAAGGAGAGCCTCATGGAAAGACGGGTTGAATTGGAAGTAACCATAGTTATTGAAGATTAGTATATATCACTTGTTTTTTTTGAAGTAATTATTCACTAATTTTGGAATTTTATGTGGCATATGGTGATCCAAAGCAATGATCTAATGAAATTTTTTATAAATAAGATATGTTGACTCATTTTTGTAATATACATAGATGACAAATAATAATTCATTTAATGTGTTTTGTAATTTTTCATTTGTTGAAAGTGTACAACGTAGATAATGAAACATAATACTTTGAAAATATTTAATAACTTTACATTTTTTTATTGTTTTACATCATTGAAGTACTTAACAATATATTAGTTACATTTTATTAATTTCTAAATAATTTTTTCAAAAATTTGGGTCATATATCTAATTTTTCATTTTTATTTTATGTGCACAAAATTCAATTATAAAATTGAACACAATTCTCCCTCTCGAAGTTAGATCAACAAATATACACTCCGTGTGGATCAAATGATTTGATTAGAAATGATAAGAAATGAAGATAAATTGTACTCTTTTCTATGTTTAATTTGTAAGTTAGATGGGAAATTGTAAGAAATAGTGAAAAATTGAACTCTTTTATTTTGTTGGTTTCATATTTCTTATTAAAAGTGGTAATATTTGGTGAGATAATTTTCGTAACATCAAAATTGCCTACTATGAAAAAAAAAAAAAAAAATCCAAAATTTCTATCTCACATACTTTGCTAATTTATTCATACAAACATAATAAAAAGAATAGATAATAATTTATTTTATATTCTCACTTAAATTAAGATACCACAATCATTTTTTTTTTCTTTTTTCTAAACTTTATAAGTTAGACCATCTCCAACGGAGAATCAAATTCAGTATCAAATTTGAATTTGATGAAAAAAGTCACTTGTTTTGCTCCAATGGTTTCACCAAATCGATATCAAACTAAGAACGGAGTAAATTTTTCATCAAATTGAGAATATGCATGAGCCTTCACTAATTTACTGTGCTGTAACGTTGCAAGTGGGGTCACAGTCAACCTGCTGGACGTCCGGCCGGTCGACCAACCGATCAACCGGTAAAAGGTTCAAACAGTTCAAATATTCAGGTTCAAACAAGTAAAAAATTAAAAATTAAAAAAGATATTTGCTTACCGGTCGATCGACCCCTGCCTTTGATGATAATCATTGAAGTAGCCTATATCAAATTGAGAAAATAGTCTTTTTTTTTTTAATTAAATTTGATAATAAAAAAAAAAGATTAACTATTGAAAATGCTCTTACAACCTAAAAGTACTATTAATTGATCACAAATTAATAATAAAATAATGTACATTTAAAATTGTTCATATAGGAATGAGCGGTGATTCCAGCACTAGCACATTCCCGTAATAAACAACGTTCAAATGATGTGGATCACTAATTAGTTATTGCACTAAGATGTGGCAATAGGTCTCTACTGTTATATGTGTTTTGTATCTTAATTTTTGTTTTTTGTTTTTTTGTTATTTATCATATCATTAATAGTGATATTAATAATAAAACAAAAATGTTAGAGGTCCAAAAATTCTATCAAAAGTTTTACCAGATGTCTCACATGGGTGTGGGACCCACATGGGACCCATATTGTGTGGGTCCCACACCCATGTGAGACATTTAATAAAACTTTTAATAAAATATTTAGGATCTCTAACATTACTCATAATAAAAATTTAGTCATCTCTAACATTACTCATAATAAAAATTTAATGATATATAGCATTGTTGTACTTCTTAATAGACAGAAACCCCCCTTCCCCCATGGTTTTAAACCGACACCAACCCAAGTTTAGTCAAACCACACAGACACATTCCCAACTTTGCGATTCACAGCTGTCCACACACGCTCCTTCTACGTGCCCACCCGACTACAATACAACATCCATATATAAACACACTCTCTTCCCTCCCACAACACCATCGTCCATCACAACAAGAAGAAAACACAGTCAAAAAACTAGTAACAAACAAGTCTCTTTCAAGCCTCTCCCACCAATCTCTAAAATGTCTTCTCTCTACCATTTCACCATCCTCCTCCTAATTTCTACCCTACCCATCCCTTCCTCTGCCACTTCCCGCAAGCTCGCAGCTCTGGTTCAGCAACAGCCTCTCACTCTCAAATACCACAACGGCCCACTTCTCAAAGGCAATCTCACCCTCAACCTCCTCTGGTACGGCAACTTCTCCCCTTCCCAGCGCTCCATCATCCTTGACTTCCTCCAGTCCTTGAACTCCCCCAATGCGCCGCCACCCTCCGCCGCGTCCTGGTGGCAGACCACTGAGAAGTACAAAGGCGGCACCTCCACACTCGTCCTCGGCACCCAAATCCTCGACGAGAATTACTCCCTTGGGAAATCACTGACGACCTCTCAAATAATCTCTTTGGTCTCCAAAGCCCCGCATGTGAATTCTATCAATGTGGTTTTGACTGCGGCTGATGTCGCCGTCGACGGCTTTTGCATGAGCCGGTGCGGGACTCACGGGTCTGGTTTTTCTAACCCAAAGGACAAGCAGAGCAGGTTCGCCTACGCGTGGGTGGGCAACCCGGTGAGTCAGTGCCCGGGTCAGTGTGCTTGGCCATTTCACCAACCCATATTTGGACCCCAGACTCCGCCATTGGTGGCTCCAAACGGCGACGTTGGGGTTGACGGAATGGTGATCAATTTGGCCACGGTTTTGGCTGGTACGGTGACGAACCCTTTTGACGATGGTTACTTCCAGGGGCCTGCGACGGCGCCGTTGGAGGCCGTAACGGCTTGCAAGGGTATATTCGGGTCCGGAGCATACCCCGGATATGCTGGGTCGGTTTTGGTGGATAAGGCTACGGGTGCGAGCTATAATGCGAATGCGGTAAACGGGCGCAAGTACCTGCTGCCGGCTATGTGGGACCCACAGACCTCCACCTGCAAGACACTCGTGTGAACGAAAAATAATACAATAAATTTCCATCTGATGTACATTTGATTTTTATTATTTATATACTGCATAATATGGTTCCTATACAAGTTTCAAAATTACTTTGTTAATTTGAAGAAAAAGAACATTAAAAATGCTAGTTTTATATTTTTTCTTTCAACTGTTCAATTCTCTGTTGGCAAAAAGATGCTTCCTTTTTTTCTTTTTCTTTTTTTTCCTTTTGTTTTTTGAATTAAATATTACTCTAATTGTTTCAAAGGTATATATTCAGCGCAAAAAAAAAAAAAAAAAAAAAAAACTGGCACATTAAAAGGCGGAAAAATTATTAGATGTTCTAGGTTTGTGATCCCTTCTATACCAAATTTGTATTAGAAGATTTTCATTACATCATTTAAAGATTTATAACATATTTTTAATTTAAAATAATAATAGATTCTCATTATTATTTTACAACCCTCAATGTAATGGAAAGGATCTTATATGATATGTTAGTTATATCATGTGATATTGATTAGGTGATATTCTCATCAATCAAAAACAACAATACACACTATATAAGTCACCATTTATTTCTTAATTACCTCACAACAATGAGTTAAAATGTCCCAACTCAACTATAAAAAATTTTGTTAAGTAATTTGTTTTGTTTGAAAATATTATAATAAGTTATTAGTTAATAAGTTAACTTTTTAGTTAGTTCACAAAAAAAATAAATCCATTCCACAATACATAATAGGTCAACAAAGAGAAATTGGTCATCCTAACATGATTCAATGCTTACAAATGTAATGGGAAGTAATTTGATGAGAACACATGACCTTCAGCTTAAATAAAGAAGTCATTTGCATTAAGAAACTACCCCGCCTCATGGCCTTGGCTCCCTGCAGGTTTCCTACGAAAATAATTCAAAATTGTTTCTTGCACCACCCTACCTTCATTTTCAGAGAAATAAGTCACAGAAAAAAAGTTCCGCAAAACTTTTTCATCCAAGTATCATCTGACAATTGATCGAAATACTACCATTGCCATCATCTAGTAGTTGATTCAAACAGCTTAAACAGTCTTAAAGACCAACAACAAAATTAGGGCAACGACATATTATTGCTTTCCATTTTAGCTTCTAATTGTGAACAAATTTTGCATTGTGCTTATTATTAAGACCAATAATGACGTGAGGCACTATAAGAATGAGAATTTTTAACACCGTTTACCCACACAATCAGACTTATACAAGAAAATAGAATTTTTTAGGACATTTATTCATAAATCTCTCTTCATCTACTTATGTTCCACTTAAGTCAAATTATTCTTTTATGTTCCAATAAATCTTTATGAGCGACATAATTAACAAAATACCCCTAATAATAATAGAATGAAGTTTGCATTAATGTTCACATTGATAGTGTAAATGTTTCATGGTGTGAACATTCGCACTGTCAAATTTATTTAATATGAATGTTCACATCACTAAGTTGCTAAAGGTTCAAAAATTATTTATAAGAGTAAAATTTCCCATAAAATATCTTAAATATGAGGATTATAATTTGGTAAATCAAATGTCAAAAATAACTGGACTTATTAGAATAGAAAAATATCTTATGAACTAATTAAGATACAAATACTAAACAATGATTTTTTAATAAATTTTTGTATTTTTTTTTTATATGCACTACAAGAAAAAACACCTTTAGTGACCACCTATTTTTAGTTGGTCACAAAAAGTATAGTAATCTGCCACCAAAATTTATTTTGGTCACGGATGATGGTGTTTTAGTGACCAACATTTTTTTGGTGGCTAATAGTTAAGTATTTGTGACCAAATAGAAAATGTGGTCGCCAAACGTGATGGCGGGAGCGCGAAAAAAAAAGGCGGGACATCAAATCTTTTGGCTACCAGCAGATGTTGGTCGCTCACTTTCTGCGACTAGAATTATTCTAGTCGCCAAAAGTCAACTTTTCGCGACCAAAATCTTTGTCGCCAATGCTCAATTTTTTGCGACTAGAATTATTCTGGTCGCCAAAAGTCCACTTTCAGCGACCAAAAATTTCGTCGCCAATGCTCACTTTCCGCGACTAGAATAATTCTGGTAGCTAAAAGTCTACTTTCTGCGACCAATATTTTCGTCGCAAATGGTTATCTTTCAGCGACCAAAATAGATGGTCGCAGAAAGTTGACTTTTAGCGACCAAATTCTTAGTCGCAATAGGATCAATTTTGACAAATTCAAGTCCATTCCGCGACCAAAGAATGTTGTCGCAAATGATGATTTTCCGCGACCAACTTCACTTTTGGTCTCCAAAAACCTTCTGTGACGGACTTTTGGCGACCAAATTGCGACCAACTTTTTTTGGTCGCTAAAAACTATTAGCGACCAGATTTGACCTTTTTGCGACCAGAAATGTTGGTCACGAAAAGTGTTTTTTCCTGTAGTGATGGCATATTAGTACAACACAAATTGAATACAAATCCGAAATGATAGGACATGATAATTTGATTGCTTATAGTGGTTTGGACACGTTTAAAATCTCAAAATAAAACATTCATTTAGGAACATGCTATTTTGATAATTTTTTAATTTTTTAGTTAAAATATGAGATAAAAAAATTAGTATATTTAGGATGATTTTTTAATTTTTTTACGAAAGATTGTATAAAAATAAAGAAAAAAATGAAATCTTTAATTTTTTTTTTATAATTTATCAATTTTTTTTTTTGTCATTTTGACTTTTGTAACAATTTTTTAACTTTTAAGCTAAAAAATAATGTTTCCAAATAAAACCTAAATATCCATAAGACACTTGTTAACATGATTCATTTACTAATAATAAAGAACAACAAGACAGAGAGTTTTAATTTTGGAACTCTAAAAAGAGTTCTAATAATGTAACAATGAGTGGGGGTCTACATGTGATGTAATGCGTGTGCTTATGTTTATTTATTTATTTATTTATTTCTTACCACATCACTAAAACTTTTTTTAAAGTTTTAAAATTAGAACTTTCTATCATTATTGAAAAAAGAAATAGGGATTAGAACCGACGTTTCGGATTACTCTTGATCCAAGGCATGTGTACTACTTAAAAATATAAATGATTGTGACGTAATTTCACTCGGTATTACATGTATCAATTAGTGTACTAATTAATGTACAAATATTAATTATGACATTATTATTGATTTCACTCATTATAGAAATTATAAATATTAAAAATGTCTTCAATTATATCACCTCATCAATTTATATAGTAGTTAGTATACTATTAGGTTCATACAGTAGTTGCATAGAGCATTATTCAATTTCGCTTATTGAACATTAAACAAATAATATTAATTGATAACTTTTAATATTTCAAAATTGGAGAGTCAAATATGGCTACTTGCACCAGTCCATCAATACCCACCAATGCATTAGTCGGTCTAAAATTTGGACGTGACAGTTGCATTGAGGCGTCCAGTTGGTGCCGGTCGAGCCAATTTGCAACGTTTGACCGTGCTAAATAGTAAATTATAAATACATTTCTTAATATTTGATTAAAATATAAATTATCTAATATAGTTTAGAAATTATATCTTTTTTTTAAAAAAAATTTAATTTCATAACAAATAATCTTTTATAAATAAATTATCAAATCAATTCACAGTTTTCAATAATATTAAAAATATATTTTAGAAAATTTTATTATTATATGAGAAAACAGTTAGAAATTTAATTTTTTTAATTAATTCTGTTGAATAATTTTTTTTTTATTTTTATGAAGGAGTATTTATAATTGTTAACTTGATACTTATGAAAATGAGATATACCCAATACCCCATAAAATAATGAATAGTGTTAGAAGATATTTCAATATTATAATGTGTTATTGGTTTGATTTGTTTTTTTCCCTCCAAGTTAATCCTTTCTTGGTGTCCAAGGATCCTTCAAGTCTTCCAAGTCTTTGCCTAGTCAAGTCTTCTTCTAAATCTTCCAAAAGTCAAGTCTTATCCTCCAAACTACTTCCAAAGAGCCTCCAAGCAACTTCCAAGAATCCTCCTCCAAGAAACTTGTCCACCAAGCTTTCATCTCCTATAAATTGATCTAACTTCTTATCTTGGATGGGAGAAGAAGTTTTTGTTGCTTTATTATGTTTTGTGTGAGATTATTAGGCAAATAAGGGTGCATGTGATAAAGTTTTGGGTTCAACCAATTGTGCAGTATTGGTGAACCATACGACTTAGTCGGGCTGTTGTATCCTAGGGGGCCAAGTCAAGGTTTTTTTTACTGCACCAGTGTGAGGCTTTGCCTAACCGCAGAAGGCTTGAATCTCCTTAAAGAGAGCGAATTTCCCGCGCCTCAACCCTTACAATAGTTATTGTAATTTTTATTATTATTATTTTCTGGTGTTTTATTTGTAATTATCACCAACAACTTTAAGGAGATTCAAATAGCAAAAATTCATGGAGCCAATACTAGAGAAGCCCAACGAGAATACCGGCGATCTCAACAAGCCCTTCCGGTTCAAGGGAGCCCATTTCAAGAGATGGAAAGGCAAGGTGCTTTTTTACCTCAGTCTCCTCAAGGTGGCCTATATCCTGATCGAGAAAAATCCGAACAAAGTCCCCACTGAAGAAATGACCGACGAGGAGTATGCTGCTCATATTGAAAAAATCGAGAAATACAGTACAGATGAGTATAAATGTCGATATTATCTTTTGAATTGTCTTTCAAATCAATTTTATGATTATTATGATACTACTTACACTACTGCCAAGAAAATTTGGAAAGCCTTGCAGAATAAATATGACACTGAAGAGGCAGGCGCTAAAAAATATGCTGCAAGCCGTTTTTTCCGCTATCAAATGATAGATAAAAAATTAGTGGTGGAGCAAGTTCAAGATTTTCAGATACTAGTGGTTGAAGTTACATCCGAAGGCATCAAAATTGGAGACAATCTTGTTTATAGCAGGTATTGTTGACAAACTACCATCATCTTGGAGGGAGTTCCAGAAGTCAATGCATCACAAGAAAAAAGAGACGTCCTTGGAGACTCTAATCACAAAAATCCGGGTGGAGAAGGAAGCACGAGGACAAGATGCGCTTATGACACAAAAACATTCCACTACAAAGGTAAATTGGAAATATTTTACCTAAAGGTCGATTTCATAAAAATAGTCATTTGAA